GAGGGCCCGAGGAGATCAGGCCACTCTGTCAACCAGGGACTCTTGATCCCCGTCTGTCTACCCTCCCCAGACACATCCCCCAGGCAGGCCGGTCTGGCCGCCACCTACCATGTTTGGAGGGCCCCAGCCACAGCTTCTGCGGGGTCAGGGACACCCTGGTGCTCAGAGGCATGGTCTCGGCCGTCCTCAGGGACCTCCAGGACGCCGTTGCGCTCTTAGGCTTCGAGTAGTACGGCGACTCTAAAACCAGCATGGGTTCAGAATGACACCAGGCAGGGTCCACACACCTCCTTCCCAAGGGCAGGAACCAACCACGGACAGGGGCCCGGTGCCATCAGACCATACAGTTAGGATGCACGAGTGTGTGAGCATTTGTTCATCTCCATCATGGGGAATGTGAGGGAGGAATGTGAAACAAGTAAAACTGCACAACCGTTAAGGTCAGCTATAAAGGTCACCCACTGCGGAGGTCGGGCCAGCCCACCCAGCAGTGACCCTGTGGGTCGAGGAGAACTGCCCGGCAGGGCTCCCAGGGCTGAGGCCCTTACGGAAGCAGACTGCCACGTCTTTCTCCCATGCAGCAGCCACACTCAGGTTCACAGCCAACTGCTGTAACCACGGCACGGCCACAGTGCCTTCCATACACGGTACACGCACATGTACCCACAGTGGATAGACTCCAAACATAAGACTCACTGACGATGGGCATGCCAGCACTGTCAGGGCGCGGTCACAAACACGTCCCCACTGGCCGCCCAGACCAGCCCAGCTCTGCCAGCCGCCCCTTGACCTGCACCAAGGAGGTGCTCCCTCAGACAGAGCTGCGCCCTCCCTCCCTGTGAGGAGGAGCCCCCTCAGGAAGGGCACCCAGTGGGATTCTAGGAGGAAACCATTGCAAACCAGCAGGACAGTGCCCGTCAAGGTGGCCAGCCTGCTCTCCGTGGCACTGGGTGAGCAGCCAGGCCCTCGGCACGGGGTCTGGGGCTACATGGGCTCTGGATGGGCTGCAGATAAAATCCAGGGGGCAGGGGAGCATGCTGAGGAGCCCTGGATCAGCAGGCAAGGCTTTCCGCTCCCATAAAGGGCTGGCGTCTCGGACACCTGCAGAGGCAGGTCTGCCCTGTCCCACAAGCCCGGCGTCGACATCAACTTGACGGCAGGGAGGGAGGCAGAGGATACCGTCTGATCTGCCCCCAGGACATGAGGGTGGGGGGGGCAGGCAGCCATGGAGACAAGCTCTCGGGGTTTACGTGGGTCACGGGGGTACTCACTCGGTGACACGGGGAGAGGTCTGTGGCCACTTTTTCTTTTCGGTTTCTGAAACAAAGCAGTCGCTGTAGGTGTCGGGCTGAGGCTGATGGGGGTGGGTGACGGCTGGGCCCCGGGGGAAGTGATGGAGACACTGACTCCGCTGGCACCGGGCAGAGGTGGCAGCACCGGTGAGGGTTCTCTGACACCCCCTGTGGCTCAGACCACCAGCCACCCCAGGGAGGACGAGGAGGCTTCCCGCTCTCCTACAAATGCACCGCCTTGGAGACCCCCAGGGGGCTCCTCCAGGGTTGTGGAGACAGCACTCAAAGGCCCCGCTCTGCAGCCCACACTGCCCTCCCCAGCCGGCTCCAGAGGGGGTGGGAGCCCAACCTCCCCAGATGGGCTTGGCAAGATGAGGCCTGGAGTCAGATGCCGCTCAGCCTGGATGCCCATGGGATGGGATGGGTGGTCTCTTTGGGAAGGCTCAGCCTTACATTTTCAGCAGGGCGGGGGTACATTTACACACACACACACACACACACACACACCTCCCTCCCCGCAGTCACATGGCTCCGTCCCAGCTTAGACCATAGGTACTTCCTCAGCCCTCCACTCCCTGCCCTGCCGTCAGCACCTTTTCCATCGTCCAACAGGCCAGGCCAGCCCCTCATGCCAGCCAGAAGGTCTGCCTCCATCCCAGGGGGACCTCTCAGAACTCCCCACTGCGTAAACCCGCCTCCACTGGCTCAGCGGGGCAGGAAGCTTGGGCCCTAGACATGGCGCTGAGGGGATGGTGGCAGTCGGACCCAGGAAGGGGACAAGTGGCTGGAGGTGGGGAGCACTTACACTCACGGTCTCAAAGTCAGAATCGAGGGTAGTCGCAGAGAGACTCTCGTCGCCCTGGAAGGAGAGAGCAGACACTGCCGTGG